ATATATCTATAAATCATTTTATTAATTTACTCTTTAAAATTTATAATAGTTTTTGAAATTTAATTGCTTACAATAAAATTATAGTTATTTATTTTATATATCATTTCTTTTAATAATTATGATAAAAACTATTTTTATAGTTATCATAATAAGAAAAAGTAAATAAAGGCACATGTGTTTGCTTTAAAAATCTATAAATTAAAATTCTGTAAAAAAATATAATGACGGGTAAGTTATTCATAATTGAAGGATAAAACCGACAAAGATGAAAATAAAATTTTAAATTTTAAATCTATCCGCTCCGCGCTACTTTTGATACAGATGATTGAGGTAACATAAACCCACCCTTGAAGAGACTCATTTCCATTCCTAACTAAAGGTAAATATCTCAGAAGTTTCCACCCTTGCTTTAAAATAGATTCAATGACAAAAAGAAAAGAATTTTTTGTTTTTTAACATTTGAGGAAAGAATGTCAAATTGCCTTTTTAGTTAAAAGGGAAAATTTGATTCAATTCAGTTTAAAATTAAAGAAAATATCTACATAATCTTCAAATATAGAAAATATTTGTAGAATTTTTCTAATTAAAAAAAATATGTATATGATCTTTTATATTATTTTGTTTTTTTATTTCCGTTTCTAGAAGATTAAATTGTTACAAATAAAAGTAAGAAGAATGTAATTATCATGAATGAAAATAATAAAATCATTCTCTTCTTCAAATTGGTATCAGAACTCTTGATCTTGGGAGATCCGTTTCCGCTGCAATAGTAGTCACCACCACCGTTGTTCGACCACCACAGTCGTTGTCGTAGCCAATTGGGTGTCGTTGATAGGGCAGAAAGGTGCACCAACTCCACCAATCACAACACAAGAAATCCCTTCGGGAAAGCAGTCGCCACGCGCCACCATCGTCACCGGCACGTGTAGCCCATGTGCCTAGTTTCGGTGCGACTCACTCGCCGCCGTCATCATAGATAGGGTCGTTGGAGCCTCCTGAGTCCGTTCCACGGGTCGGAGACGTCCCTTTTGACCCAAATTTGCGTAGATCTGAGTTTTAAGTTTTGCTCCTTTTCTTGGTGTAACCCACACGTCGTTGTCGCCTCGGATAAGGTCACCGAAGACATCTGATTGCGTTCTACGTAATGTTTGAAGTAAAAATTATTCCTTTAGATCCTAATGATATACCTGATATGATGGGTGTCTATCGATTGGATGGTCGAAATTTCCTACAATGGAGTCAATATATTCAAAGGATTCTCAGGGGACGTTCAAGACTAGATCACATAGATGGAGGAGGACCAGGACCGGATGACACACATTTTCCAATTTGGGACGATGAAGATTCACTAATTATGACTTGGATGTAACAGTCAATGATTCCTAAGATAAGTAGAAATTACATGTTTCATTCTTCTCCCAAAGAAATATGGGATGATTTACAAAGTGATTTTTCAGTAAAAAAGGATTTTGCTGCCTTCTATAACATTGAAAGTAGGATATTTAATACAAAACAAGGTTCTCTTTCTGTATCAGAATATCATGGAATCCTGAATGGATTTGGATTGAATTATATCATAACCAAACAATAAAGATGTGTAAAACAAATGTTACCGCACTTGCTGAAGTCATGGAAAAAAGAAGAATCTTTAAATTTCTCCATGGCCTGAATCATGAATACGACCCAATCCGGGTACAAATCGTAGGAAGAAAATTATCATCCCTATCAGAAGTTTTTTTTATGGTAGTAAGAGGAAAAGAAACTCAGAGAACTGTCATGCTTGATGGGGGACCTCCAATTGAGGCTCTGCCATGACAATTGGAANGGAAGAAAATTATCATCCCTATCAGAAGTTTTTTTTATGGTAGTAAGAGGAAAAGAAACTCAGAGAACTGTCATGCTTGATGGGGGACCTCCAATTGAGGCTCTGCCATGACAATTGGAAAAGAAGTCCATAAAGGAACAAATGCTGAAGAAAATTCGTTTGAAAAAGGTATTCATGGAAACTATTGTTCCTATTGTAAAAGATCTGGACACATCAAGGAAACATGTTTCAAAGTCCATGGAAGAAAAAATGTTCTCGAGAGCATGGGAAACAACAAAAGATTTACTCAAAAATGGGTCAATCATACTACCTTAGAAAAGGAAGCCACCAATCAATCTTCACATTCTAGTTCTTCACCATCACTGGATCTTGATATGAAAGCTTATAAGGAGGAACTCGAGCGCTTGAAAGCAATTGGTGAATCAATGAGTAAGCCCTATGGATCATGTACTTTGTCCATGAAAGGTAAGATTTGTCTCAATACTCTTGGTCATGTGTCTCAAGGTATTTGGATCCTTGATTAAGGAGCAACTAATCATATGACACATTTTCATGTGTCCTTCGACTCATGGTAAAAGAAATAGAGAACAACTTATTATAGTTGCTAATGGTCAGGGTATACTTATATGCGACTCTGGGAATATAGTTTTGGACTCGTCTATTGTATTAAAGGATGTTTAACATATTTCTCAATTAAATTGTTTAGTAACATTTTTTTCAACTTATTGTATTTTTCAGGACCTTGTCACGGGGAAGACGATTTTAATTGCTAAGGAGCAAAATAGGTTGTATCTTTTAGAGTTTGATGACCAAAGCAACACAAAAATCATGAGTCAACCATTTACATTTGAGACGTGGGCAAATTCCCAACTATGGTTACATCATTAAAGGCTTGTACATCCTTCCTTTGATTTTATCGAGTCCTTATTTTCCCATTTGTTTACCAAATAGTTTGTAGACTCTTTTAATTGTGATATTTGTCAGTTGTGAAAACATCATTGTGCATCTTATCCTATTAATGATTAAAAGAGTACTTCTTCATTTGATTTAATTAACTCTAATGTTTAGAGTCTTGTCATAGAATCTATTTTCGAAGCCAAATGATTAATTACCTTTATTGACGATTGTACTCATGTCACATGGACATATATTATGAAAAATAAATCAGAAGTTTTTCAAATTTTTGTTCATTTTTTTCGTCTTGTCAAAAATTAATTTGGAAAAAATATCAAAAGAATCATATATGATAATGTTACCGAATTGAATATGTGAATCATGAATTTCTCAATTTTTTGTCTCATAATGGTATTATTCATCAACTAACATGTGTAAACACCCCTCAACAAAATGGGGTTAAAGAAAGAAAGAATCGCCATCTTCTTAAAGTGACTAGAGCTCTTCTTTTTCAAATGTCTCTTCCAAAAAATTAATGGGGAAAAGTTGTGTTAACTACCACATATCTCATCAACAGGTTACCCACTTGTATCTTAAATGACATTAGTCCTATAGAGTATCTATTGTCTTTTATTCCTTCTTCTCCTCTAATAACGAGTTTACCTAATCGAGTCTTTGAATGTGTTGTTTTTGTTCATTCTCATCATCCTGACCGTAGTAAATTAAATCCTAGACCTCTTAAATGTGTCTTTGTTTGGTATATTTCTAATAAAAATGGTACAAATATTATTATCCTCATAATCATCGTGTCTTTATCACCATGGATGCCACCTTTCATGAAACACAATCCTTTTATGTTAGTACACCACTTAGAGAGGGATAAAGCACTTAAAGTGGATGAACTCTCCTTTTTGTCATTATCATGTTTGTCTTTGTAGGATGCCCAAAATATGAGCAATGAAGCTACCATAGTCCATAGTGAAGAAAAAGAGGAAGAAGACAAATTTTTTGACAAAAGATATGAAAATAGAAAACAACCCACTTTGATTCTCGAGCAAGAAAAATTGTTTAATCCAAATGTGAGAATCCCTGAAGATATCAATGAAGGGAAGGTAAGTATTAATGAGGAATTACCCATTGCATTAAGAAAGAAAGAAGATCATGTGCTAAATATTATATTTTTAAATATGTTTGCACTAACAATCTCTCTAATAAGCATAAAAGCTTTATTGTTTCCATAGATGCCACAAAAATTCCTTCCTCACTCTAGGAGCCATGAAACTTGAACAATGGAATCAAGCTATTTTTGTGGGATTGAGTTAAGCTTAAAGTCTATTTCTTAACATGGTATCAGAGCCAAATTAAAGCATATCCTAACGATATTTGTTGTTTGTTGAGCATATTGTTTCACCCGTTATCAGATTGCTATCGAACCACTTATTAATGTCTAGTCTCATACTCGAAATGTATATATACCTTAACATGAAAGGGTGTGTTGAAAGTCTACCATCAACTAAAGATAAGACCAGTTTAAAATATATAGGTAGATGCAAACTTTTGTAAGGATTATGATCATGATAATCTAAATAGAGACTTTGTAATTATAACTTATATTCCTATAGGACTTCATATACCATACATTTTCAAAAAAAAGTTTTCTCTGAATAGATTTTAAGATTTAAGATCTTGTAGACTAAGAATGACTAATATTTATTTATCAACAAATATGTATAATCTTCTAATTAAAGAAAATATATGTTTAATCTTCTAAATTATTTTGTTTCCTTATTTCCCTTTTTATTGCTACAAATAAAGATAAGAAGAATGTAATTATCATAAAGAAAAATAATAAAATTATTCTCTTTTTCAAGTTGAAACAACTTGAATTTTTTTTTCACTTTTCTAGTTTTACAAGTTTTCAGTAAAAAAATTGAAACTTTCTAAATATATTCATAGAAAAGACAAAATGTATCATCAAAAGAGTTCTTGAAATAGAGAACATTACGGTCCAATCCTTTTTAATTTTAATAAATATTCCTGATTTCTTAATCCTCAAGTGTCAAGGGGCAGAAGGTCAATGTTTACTAGAAACTTTCCTGTAGTAAAACCAGTAAAAAAATTAAGCAGTTCTCATCCTCAATGACATAAATTTGAAAAAGAAAATCACATTTCTCCAACAAACGACAGTCATAACTCTTCCTTGCAGCAGCCACGTAGTTCCTTGGTTTATTAAGAGGATAGCATGGGTATCCTGGTAGCAGCCATACTACCAGTAAATTATTAAGAATCAGTGGCAATGGGAGCTAGCAATTCAGACTGCAACTTTGGTATATATCTGATTCAATGTTTAGCATTAATCAAGTTTCTGATGACATATTGCAAGATGCCTCCATGGTTGAAGTATGCTATTTCAACCTGTAATAAAGTAACCAAAACATCAGCAGGGAAAAGGAGAATGCCAAAGAATAAGAGCAAGGTACAAGAAACTCATCACTACCACCAACACCATGAGAGATTGGAAGATAAGATGTTACCTCTGTATCAAATCTCAGGATAGATACGAATGTCTTCCCGGTATCTGTCACCACTGTGACATCTTGACCAGGTCTTATTTCATTCACGTTGCTTGGTAGATCAATGGTGTAACGTTCACGACCAGTTAATCCAAGAGAATCGGCATCCTCCCCAGGCTTAAAACATAGAGGAATGATACCCATTCCCACCAAATTACTTCGGTGAATCCTTTCAAAACTTTTTGCTATGACAGCTTTCACACCCTAGAACAAAAAGTAAACGAATTCAGCATTAAACAAACCAGCAAAATATGCACAAATAAATCGGTGAGATCACAAAAGGCCTCCAGAATGTACCAGTAGCATTGGCCCTTTTGCAGCCCAATCTCGGGAACTCCCACTCCCATACTCAGCACCGGCCAAGATAATCATATCATGCCCCTCACTCTTGTAACTCTGAAAATTAAGTAGTGTCGATACCATAAGGGACCAGTGAAGGTTGAAGAGTTAGAAATTTTATTTATAGATTGAGCATTTTGCAATCTACCTCAGACAATATGACAGCATACAAGATTAACAAGAAGCCAACTACCAATCGTTGGGACAGTTGGATGAAAAAGATATGGAATCATAAATCATTTGACTAAGGTTACTGACACTATCTTTCCCTAGTTTTTTCCCTTTTGGCTATTCGATACTTATTGAACAATGAAATGTCAGATATAGCTCACTGTTATTTTATAGATACAGCTGCAATATGAAGAATCTTACCAGCAGCAATCAAATAGAATACAGTTCCACCGAAAGTGATGGATATCAGATGGAAAGTAAAAGCATTGACTAAAACACCAACATATTACATGGTTCAGAAATATTACCTCAGCAGCATCAAAGACTGATAACTTCTCCCCGGAAGGAATATGAATAGTTTTAGGTCCAACTTCTCCATTCAAAAATTTGTTGACAATGCGAATATTGGCAAATGTTCCTCTTGCCATCACTTCATCATTACCACGACGACTTCCATAAGAGTTGAAGTCTCGTCTATCAACTCCACGTTCTATAAGATATCTGGCTGCAGGACTGTCCTTATGTATGCTACCAGCTGGAGAGATGTGGTCAGTTGTAATACTGTCTCCAAAGTTGAGTAAACAGTAAGCATTCTTCACACCATTAGAGCCTGAGGGAGACATGGTCATATTTTTGAAATAAGGTGGCTCGTGAATATAAGTTGATGTAGGGTCCCAAGCATAAAGAGTGCCCGACGGAACAGATAAATTATTCCACATGGGATTGCCTTGGGTGATCGCGTTGTATGTTTCTTTAAACATATCAGGCAGCACACTTGATTGTACGACCTGAAGATTGGAAAGATTATGAAGAATCTAAGACAATATATTTTTTATTTAAACTTGCTAGTTTGGGGGCATATAACAGGTATATCAAATTAAGGAGAAAACTAAAAATATAAATTTATAAAATGGCAAAAGTACGTCATAAGAAGGAATAAAATAAGATAAGAAATGTCCTCATTGTTTAGATAAGGTTCTATTTTGTTATAGAGTGGAAACTCAGAATTGTATGAATATTGCTCGAGTGATCCTCTCAACTTTATACAAGAAAAATCTGTACATGGAGAATCCCATCGTTTTGGAAAGAATATATACAAGAGATAGCAGAAAGAATAGGCTTACTAACTATCATGTACAGTATCAAGATAAAAAGAAAGAATGGAGATATCCTAACTAGGGGTGTTCAATACACATCCTGACCTAAACTAATTTTGACGGGTTTTGGTTTTAAATACTGTACTTGATAGCATATTGGAGACAGATTCAGGTTCAAGTCATTCCAACCCAACTAGGTCTCATTCTTTTGAAATTATATATCTTTTTGATAATTATGTAATACTTCCAGACTTAACAGATGATATCTTGCATGAGATGATGTTATATTTATATTAATATCGTTTCACAATATATACTAAAAATTTTAAAGCATGCCTTAGTTTCAGGTTTACACTACTTTAATTATATAATTTAGCTTATACATAATATTAAAATTTTTTATTAAACAAATCAAGATGATCAGGTTCTCTACAATACACGATCTGTTAAATTTTGGGTCCAACTGAACGACCCTACTAAAATTTTGGGTCGGGTAGGAATCAAGCTCAGCCTATCTCCAACGAAATCCCTTATTCTAACTTGCCACAATCCAAATATCCACACCAATCATGAAAAATCTCAACATATAGGAGTGAATTAAAATAAAGAATTTTGATATTGTTAGTTATATAAGAATAAATTTTATGAGATGAGGCTTTTAGAATAGAAGAGTAAATTTTAAATATAAAAACTTTTCGTCCTAACTAGATAATTTGATATTGACTAAATTTAAACAACAGTATTTGAGGGGTTCAAATAATATGGCTGATGTCGGAGAAGTCCCAGGTTTGAAGTGTGATGGCTCAAATTTAATATAAAAGGTTTTATGACAAAGTCATTTAAATCCACAGCCACTTACATTTGCTATTTCTTCACTGGATGGCCAAATATCCCTGAAGAAGATATTGGTTCCATCCTTGCCTATCCCAATGGGTTCAGTGTCAAAGTCAATGTTCACCTACAGAGTAGTGTGTCCAAATTAGAGCGTGACAGCAAGTTTTGAAATGCATACTCACAAAATGAAATCAATTGACAAGTCACATACTGTGCCAGCAAGGGCATAGGCAACAACAAGAGGAGGAGAAGCAAGATAATTAGCTCTTGTTAAAGGGTGAACTCGGCCCTCGAAGTTCCTATTTCCAGACAATACAGCTGCAGCTACTATATCTGGAATATTTAGAAAACCAATGCTTAGGTAAAACCTTAGAGATTGTTAAGTGAGTATTAAGAAAACATCATTTACAAAAGTGTGTGTACCGTTTTCTGTAATTGCAGATGCTACAGCTTCATCAATATCACCTGAATTTCCAATGCAAGTTGTGCATCCATACCCAACTATATGGAAACCTAGCTGATTCAAATACTTCTGCAAGCCACTGCAGGCACCAGGAGCAGTTTAGAAATCAGGACAATTCAGTACACCAAGTTACAGATTCAATACACTTGACTGTATACTAAAGACTACCTCCTCTGCAAATACTTGGTTACAACACCAGAACCTGGAGCAAGACTTGTTTTAATCCAAGGCTTTACCTAATATTCAATATCAAATTGTGAAACAAATGCAAACAATTAGCAACAAACAACATTGGGAAAAAGAAAAAAAAAATGAAAATCATTGTGTTTCAAATACCTCTCTAACTAGTAGACAAAAACGAAAAGAAGCCTAAAACAAATGCTACTATAACTTCAACATTATTCATAAATGAGAAAGGAGCAAGAATATGAAGCTATACAAAGTGCTACATTAACCAAGGCAATAATGTTTAATAAATATAAGTCCAATTACCTTGCATTTCAACAATTATATAAAAATATAAATGCAATTCCATTGCATTTTAACAATGATATAAATATATAAATGCAATCAGACACCGAAAGTAAAATTGAGATCATGTTTTTCACTACTCTATCATATTGCCCAATTACGGCACCAAAGCATATAGCAAGGGGCAAACCTTCTTGTTGGATCTATGTATATAGTGCGTGCAAGCCTATCATTATAAAGTTAAATCATAGAATTATAATGGTGAAGGCACAAAATACATAACAATCTACTAACCTGCAAACCCAATTCACATGCTTTCTTTGCAACCAATGCAGCTCCAAGCATAACACTAGGATTGGAAGTATTTGTACAACTGGTGATAGCAGCTATAACAACATCACCATGCCTAAGATGTGCTGGTGTAGCATGGAATGTGAAGTCTGCAACCTTATTCTGAGATTCTACGGGTACAGCAAAACCCTGTAACAGTGCAGTTTTATACAATTAAAACAACAAAAACAACGAACCCCAAAATTCTGAAATTATTTCACTAGATAAATATAAAGTCAACTGCACTATTTAACTTCCTGGAAGAGGCATTCAGGACATATCTGCAGGATTGTAAGTTCAAATTTCATCCAAAGCAGTCAAAGGTGAAGCACATTTGTGAGGTGCTAAGGGGGCTAACACGCATGAAGAGGGGTCAAACATTGCACACTTCAAACAAGATGGCTATTAAATTTTAAAAAAAAAAAGTAAAATATGAGTACTTTGTATTAATTTTCCATATGAATTGATTGAATAACTATCTCATTCATTAAAAAAAAAAATCAAATGGCTGGACTCTTTTATTTTATCACTATTTTACGGCCTTTACTGTCACAAATGTTAGATGGCTTAGCTCTTTTAATCTGTTACATATCAGTAAGGTGCTAAAGGTGTGCCTTATCCGAACCACTAAGATGTGCCGAACGTGCACACTAAAACTAAACTGTTTATCTTACTGGTGCCTTGGATTGGCACATTTCAAGGATGATTTCAAAGCAAACCCCCTCTCGCATGCACACACACAGACATGCTAGTAGTTAGAGTGCAATGCCTTTTGAAAATCATACTAAAAACTTACGATATGAAAACTTAGACACCATAGATTGAACAGATAAGATATACAACATTACTACTATATATTTCAACAATAAAAATAAAACGAATACCTTAAATCCAACTTTGTTGTTGAGACAGGCAACCCAGTCTGCCTTCATTTCTTTCAAAGGGACACGATCATGAGGCCTGAAAATATTTAAGCAACGGTTACACCATTAAAAAGCTGAAAATGTAATTTTACTTCTACGATTAAATGTCCTCTTCCCTTCTAATCTGTACTTACTATATAGACCCTCCATTTTAAAACCTTAACTCCCCTATATTCATTAAAATATAAAATGCAATACTCAACAATGTAATTAAACATCACATACTTGTTTACTAAGTAGCTTAAGATGTTTTGTAGTCAAAGTTAGCATCAATTGTGCTATGCGAAATGAATGCGTTCTTCCCTTNAGACCCTCCATTTTAAAACCTTAACTCCCCTATATTCATTAAAATATAAAATGCAATACTCAACAATGTAATTAAACATCACATACTTGTTTACTAAGTAGCTTAAGATGTTTTGTAGTCAAAGTTAGCATCAATTGTGCTATACGAAATGAATGAGTTCTTCCCTTTTTGTTAGAACATGTGTCTGAATAAGGGCAGGAATGATGTTTTCAATGAATTTGTAAGACCTGATAACATTTAGGATGGTAACGTTTTAATTTATCTAAAGCAAGGAAGTTCTAGTGGGAGGGCATGTGTGGTAAATGCACAATACAAGAATATAGGAGAGTAGTTTACCCTTACTTTTAAGAAGAAAGCACAAGAACTCGTTACCTTTTTGGACCTGAAACACAGGACTCTACATCCTCAAGATTGAGTTCCAAATAGGATGAGTACACTCTCTCCACTTGAGGCTGTACAAAAGCAAAATCCCACTCAGAAGAGGTTCTTCCAGACATTTATGATATATATATCCAATGGAAAAATATATGCATAGCATACCTCACTATAATCCACAAACATCTTATTTGCTCGTAAGTAGGATTCTATCATAGAAACCTGAAAGAAAGACATCTAAGCACAACTAGACAACATAAAATATCATGACAGTGACATGGATGTTTACTTACAGTCTCATCACTTCTGCCAGTCAGTCTCAAATATTGCAAAGTGACATGATCCACAGGAAAGAAGCCCATCGTTGCACCATACTCAGGGGACATGTTTGCTATGGTGGCACGATCTGCCAAAGGCAGTTCACTCATGCCTTCCCCTGTAGTAGCGAGGTAAAAATCAATTATCCAAGTAAAGATTAATCAGCAAGAAGTAATGGTACAAAAAGATGCATCTGCATCATTTGCATATATTGGTATTACCATAAAACTCCACAAACTTGCCAACAACCCCATGCTTTCTCAGCATTTGAGTGACAGTCAACACCAAATCAGTAGCTGTGACACCATCTCGTAGTTTTCCCAATAATTTAAACCCAACAACACCTGGAAGGACCATGCTCATGGGCTGCAAAAATATCAGAGATAAATAAATTTATCTGAAAAAAATTTCAATTGGTCAAAACCACACAGGTCTAAATATAATATCACGAACATAATGTCAATGCAAAGAGAATTGAAATTTTCAAATACTCAATAAATTAATTCCACTCTAATTTTAAAATTTTTAACCAAGAGTTCTATGACAAATTAGCATGTTAGTTTTACCTGGCCAAGCATTGCAGCTTCTGCTTCTATTCCACCAACTCCCCATCCAGCGACACCGAGGCCATCTATCATAGTTGTGTGTGAATCAGTTCCAACAACACTGTCAGGATAAAGCACGCCATGTGTGTTGAACACAACTCTACCAAGGTATTCTAAATTAACCTGCAAAAATTGAAATCATAAAACTTGATTCCGAAGACAAGTAGGAATGACTAATGAAGAAAAAGTGTTTCTTCCATGAAAAAACTAAAAACATTCAGAAATTAAATATTACAGAATCAAATAAAATATTATGTATTGTATCCACACACATACATAGATCATCAATGGATATTGAATGAAGCAAATACCTGATGAACTATCCCTGATCCAGGAGGAACAACGAGCATATTATTGAATGCATTTGAACCCCATTTAAGGAAACTAAATCTTTCTTTGTTTCTCTGGAATTCAAGTTCCATGTTTGCCTGAACAGCATTTTCAGATCTTGCCACATCAACCTGAACAGAGTGATCAATGACAAGATCCACTGGTACCTGAAGGAAACCAATTTTAAAATCATTAAAACATAACCGCTGCATTGGAAAAAAAAAATGTCATTCTAAATTCATTAATGTTCACAAACACGTGGCTTACCAAGGGGTTAATTTTATTTGAATCACCACCAAGTTTGTTCATTGCATCTCGCATGCAAGCAAGATCAACAACAGCAGGTACCCCAGTAAAATCCTGACATCACCATTCAATAAACCTCGGTCAACTGAACAAAACAAATATAGCAGACACTCAAGAATTTAACAAAAAGCATTTACATTCAGCACCGACATCTTCATGTTACTCACCTGCAGAAGCACCCTAGCTGGCTTGAACGGAATCTCCACTTGTTTGGGAGAGGTATTCTCCCAATCAATAATTTTTTCAACGTCGTGTTTCTTAACTTGAAACTCATCACAGTTACGGATTGCAGATTCCAAAAGTATCCTCACAGAATAAGGAAGTTTATCTGTCGTGACAAACAAATGAATGCCGCCATCAATTCCCAGCTTCTTCAGATTCAAAAACTTAACTCATAAATCATATCACAAAAAAAACAGTAGCAGATCTCACCAGACACACACACCGCAGCAACAGATAAAAATACAATCGCAAAACAGAGCCATCAAATCAACACAAGGAAGTAAAACTAAACAAAACTGAACGCCGCTTCCTTCAACATTTTCTCTCATCAATCATTTCAAAACAAAATCCAGTGACTCACCAATTCTAGGATCGTTGAGAGCAGGCAAGCTATAGTACTTCCCGAACTCGCCACCACCAGCAGGCTTCTCGAGCGTCCTCAGAATGCTACTGAACGGATTCTCAGTCGCTGCACGAACGAACCAAACACTTCAAAAAATCAAAATGAAATCCAAAAATGAAACCGACAAAAGCGAATCAAATTGGATTGACGAATAAAGTAAGAAGTGAGAGTGAAAGAGTATGGTGTTTGACCCATGGTAGCTGAGAGAGTTATGAGATCCTGTGAACAGAAAAAGAGAGAGAAAGAAGAGTGTGGTGATTGAAAAAGAGGAGAAGAGAGATAAAAGGGAGAATGTGGAAAAAATGTTGGTGGTTTTTGTTGTTTCAAGAGTGCGAGTTTGGTTTGATTATTTAATTGGCTCATTTTGGTATGTTTCGTGAATAATGAAATATCTTTTGCGTTATGTACGATCGTTATCACATGATTCAGTGTATATCCTCACACCTCTCTTCATACAACAATTTCGGAAACGCATCTTTAACTTATTACCTCTTGTTTTTTCTGGCCGAATGTTTTTTACGTTACGCCGAGAAAGAAAATATCTCACGCCATCCCTAGTAGTGGAAAATAAATAAACGACTACATTGTTCAATATTTTTGTCTTAGTTTCTTCTGGAATATGATTTAATTAAATTTATTTTTAAGACTAAGTTAATTCTCTATTATAATTCTTTTTATTTTTTTTAGTCGATATAGTAATTAAAATATTTTATGTTTAATTTTTTTCCGATAATTTTAATTTTTAAAATACACAATTTTAAACTTTAACTTAAAAAAAACATTAATCAAATTTAATTAAAAAGTATTTAATAATTTCCATGTTGTAATATAAAAGAGAAAATTATTATCGTGTTTTTTTTTTCCTTCTTTTATTCTGACTTTTTATATTTAATTATTTTAATTATTTCAATTATATTCTAAAATTTCAATATTTTTTTTATTTTTTATATCTAACTAACTTATTTTATTATAAAAATATATATCCATCAAATAAATTAATTGTTCTATTAAATCATCTTGTAAGACTAACTTTTGCACTTATGTAATGAAAGAAAAAGTGCTCACTGTATTTGTTTATTCGTTTAAATTTATTATAACTTACATTAATTGTAATCCTACTTAAAAGCCTGAAAAAGTTTAAGGCCATTTGGGCCCTATGTGGGGTAGCCAGGCCCATCAGCTTAAGGCCAGCTTAACCTTAGGAAGGCCTCTCAGAATTCTTTTCCAACTTTCCTGAGCTCTTTCCTTTTTCTCTCTCTAAAACCCTTGCCCTAATGTTTTTCTTTGCCTTCTCTCTAAATTTCCACTATGAATCAGTTCAATCTTGGTTGGAAGGTGCTCAACGTTCACCACACCGAAGGCTTCCTTTTGAACCGATTTGATTTTCGTTTGGACGGGTAAGTCGTTTTTCCCTTCTCTTTCACTATTTTCGAACCTAAAGCATGCAACAATACGGTTGTACGTTACTAGGGGGTGTCGTTTTCCTGTTTCTGCCAAATAAAGCTCTAAGAGCTGTTGCTGTCACCACTTTGGTGGTTTGTAGGGTTTGGATTGAGTTCGTTGTGTGAGATACCCAAAAAGGGAGTCCTTGTGAGCTTGGAAATACACTCTGAGGTAGGGGAGCTAGTTATTTTGTTTGAAATTAATTTCTATGAGATATATGCATGTTGAATCTTGAATTGGTTGTTGATTAAAACTGTTATGTTCTGTTGATGTACCTGTTGAGTATAAATTGGCTGGTGTTGTGATGCTGGAAATTGTGCATGTAAAAATGTATTTGTTGTAAGTTGTTATTGTGAATTGGTGACTGTGTTTTTTGGTTGGACTGAGAATATTTCAAATGTGATAAGTTTAAGGTTTGGGTTCTGTCAAAGGAGGGTTAGATGGAAGGTAAGGTAAGTATGCACTATTCTGAGTAAATTGGTAGTAGTCCAGGTCATTTAAAGGGAAGTGACATAGTGATTTTGAGTAACAGAGGTCTAGGATGAGTTACAGTGTTGAAACAGTTTGGAGGGATCAATTGTGACTTGTTGAAAACACTTTGTTGGTAGGATAGAAGAATCTTAAAAACCTGAGTTGGCACATCCCTGATCATAGAGCAGCCCTGGCCTAGTCCAGTCAGTTGTGACTAGTCATATGTGCTGGCGTCGAAGGTGAGACTGATGCGCTCAGACATCTGATTCTTCTCCGATGACCAATGGGTTAGGGAGATGTGTTGCGGTGGAAATCATTGTTAGTCATGTTTATAGAAGGGTTAATAGAGTATTGTTTTTGGTCCTTGAGAGGAAATAAGGTAGGGAGTTTAAGCATGGGTGGTCTTGAGTGCAATTGGACAGTGTGCTAGCTTGTATGAGTCAATTAGAACAGGTTAGGTCATAAACTGAGTAAAGTCATGTTTAAAATGTAGAATCAAAATTGGGTCCTTGGTTAATGAACTTGAAGTTTAAGTTGAAACCTTGGTAGTAATCACTTTAGAATCATGCTAAGACTGGTTATAATCATCTAGACAAGTTTAATTAGGTGTGATACAAGAATTATGAGGGTTAGAAGTTGGAGAAAATAAATGAAAATGGTAAGGATTAGTGAGAGTGTGTGATTCTGCAGAATTCACGTTCTGCAGATTATGCAGTGTCGCTATGCGAGTTGTCATCCAGCGAGACCCTGAAAAGGGTGTTCACTGTCTTGGAATTCGCTGTGCGAGTTGGTGCGCTATGCGAATTTCCAGAGGGTGATGCTCACTGTTTCGGACTCGCCATGGCGAATCTTGTCGTTATGCGACTGATAGTGGTCTGGGATCACTGCCCATTTAATTCGAAGAGCGAGTGGGGTGCATAGCGAGAGTTGAAGCTGATGATGCTGCGAATTAATTCGCCATGCGAAATAGGTGCGCTATGCGAATTTTAGCTGTCTTTTGTCAGGAAAATTCGCCCAGCGCATCAAGGGGGGTGCGCTATGCGAATTTTAGCTGAAAAACACTTCCCTCGTCAGGAAAATTTGCTCAACGCACCAAGGGTGGTGCGCTATGCGAATTTTTGCTGTCATGCCTTGCATTTTGGTGCGTTTGTGAGACCTGATTCAGTTAGTTTTATATTTTTCCACATCTGTTTGAGTTGTTTGATGTTGTTTGCTGCCAGGTGTATGTATGTTCATATTTGAAATTATGTGGCTTAAATGATGTGATTGAGTATGAAGTGGACATCTCAGGGTGAGATGATTGAAAGTGATGTGTGGGGTGTTGTTGTTGTTTCTGTATAATGTATGGAGCTTTGAACTGTATGTCTATCCCTACACTCGAAGCACTGTTCATGCTCAAATAGAGGAGAGCAGTGTAAGTGGTGAGAGTAGAGGGAGGTCCTCGTCTATAGTCTTAGAGTTTAGACATAGACAGATTGAGGGATTTACCTTGCATAGTGTTGGGGAGTGCCAGCTGAACTACGCAAGTGCAAAGACGACCAATAGTTCGACAGTTATACTAATCCGGATGAGTCGCGTGAGTGTTTGAGTCATGGTTTAAAGTGTTATGTATTAACTGTTTTATATGTACTAAGCACGGATGATTATTAATTGATTGAACAATTGATGATTGCCTGTTTATCTAGCTCACCCTTGCTTCTATGTTGTGTGTGCTTGTGTATGTTTTTCTTTGCGATGATCATCCACTTGGATGGGAGCAGATGTTGTTGAGGAATACTTCTGGAGCAGAGTTGGAGGAGAATTATGCTGCTGCACAGTGTACTTAGGATTTACATATTTAAACTTTGGATATTAGATACTCTAAATTGTCTAAGTATAAACTCTGTATATATTTGGATGACTGTAATTCCGTATTTAATTGCAAGTCATACTAACTGTTCTCTTTATTGGGAATGTTGACTCCTAAATTATATGATGTGGTTATTATATTTTGGGATGTCACACTCTTTATCTGAACCTATAAGTAAAATTCACTAAATTTATAATTTCAACAAATTCTGTCTACTAATAGAAAGAGTGTTGAGGGAAAAAGAGTGCTAAAATTCGTTTGTGAAATTTTTGTTATTTATTTATACAGTGATATTAATCATTTGGAATTTATTAAGTATAAAACTATTACGATCGTATTAATTAATATAATTTTAATAAGAGACAATGCCATATAATTTAATTAAAAATCGTTAACTTATTGATTTAATGCCATAAACATTTATTTCTTTACTAATTATAATCTCATGTTTACTATATCTAACGATTTAAAAGTAGTTTTTTTCTATGTTTCAAAATTTTAAAAAGTCTTTTTGTATGTGTAAATAACATAGTTATGTTTTATAATTGTTGTTAAATAGCAAGAAACTTTTTTTTATATTTTTAGAATTTATCACAGTTTAAAAAATATATTTTAAATTTGTCGGTATCGTTTATTGTCATGACGTCTGTGTAAAATAGTTTTTAAGAGAATCTACGTTTCCACTGAATATAAATTATTTCATTATTATTTTACTTGTATACATTTTTTTAATCATCGTTGCTTTATTTATTATGATTGTTATTTCTTCCTTTGCATCTTGACGAGTTCTATTTTAAATAAATGTTGCTATTTGTATATTATATGGTATTATTCTATTATTTAAATAAAATACTGAAACGAGATTCATAACATATCTATCATTTTTATAACATTTTAATAGTATACTGATATTATTATATAATATTATTCTAACATTATATAATTAATTTTAATTTCCTCTTTTGATCATTTCTATTTTTATCGTACCCCTCTATTATTTATCAACCTCGAAACAACGAACAATAAAG